TAATTCTTTTTTAAAAAAAAAGCCCAGTATGCTGATTCTATTTACATTGGAGGTCATGTATTTTATAAATACACACTGTGGTAGTTCATATTTCAGAAGGCTGTCTGTCCTTAATTATCACAGACCCAGGACCAGCAGTTAGCGTAATGGCTATGTTGCTGGACTCCCACGTAGTCGACCGCAGTTCGAGTCCCGTACCCGGTGGCTTAAACTCACGCCGGGTGCGTGTGCGTGTGTGCCCAAGATACTGAGAGGAGAATGGAGGAGAAGGGATTGCGGCGTGGTCATCCCCCCTGGGGGGTGATTTCTTGCTTTACGTGTCTCTGTCTCTCTCTGTCTGTCTGGCAAGCACATGTGCCCTATAGCAAAAACCTCTCCAAAAAAAAGAAAAAGAAAAAGAAAAAGAAATTATCAAAGACCCATAAAGACAAAATAAATTTACCTGTATACCAGAGAACTTTCTTCTCCTCCAGTCTTCCTGGAACATTGGGCATGCACACACATGTACCTGGCATGATTTTTCAAGTTGCTGAGTCTGGGACTCACATCACGCAGTCAGCCATGTGGGATCCAGTGCATTAACCGCCATGCCACCTCCTGGCCTGGGAGTGAGAGATTTTTATTTGCCCTTCTCACAAAAACCTGCCAGACTAGCAGTAGAGTATAATCAGATTGAGTGGCTGTACTTTTCTGCTCGCGTTGATCTCTAGCAAAGTCCTAGAATTGTGCTGATGTGTGACCAGGTCCTGGTTTGTTTTTAGGCTAAGGTAAATGGGGAATGTTTTCCAGGGATTGGGAAAGGACAGTCATGTTTCAAGTTGTGGAGAAGAAGTATGTGCCTAAGAGGGGAAGGAAGGGTGTGTCATATGGTATTCTACATAAAGGTCACTCCAAACACATCATTACTGTGCCCATCTCCTCCACCCACACACAAAAAAAAGTTGGCCTATTAATTGGAAGGAGCCAGAGGGCTGTTTTTACATGTGCGATTGAGTATGTCAAAGGAATAGTGAGGTGAGAACTGGCTTTACACGAAGGACTCCACTGTAATGGAGTATACGTACGACAGACTCAGACATCCAAAACCCGAGTCATTGCCTACCCCTTCAAATTCCTCCTTACTCTATATAATCATTTATGTATTTAGCAAATATATTTTGTTTGTTTGTTTTTGCTATAAGAGATGGAGAAACAGGGAAAGTGAGAAATTACCCCCAAGAGAGGATGGACAGGCCACGATCCCTTCTATTTCATTCTCCTTTCAGGATTTTGGGTATGCACGCATGTGAGCACATGTGCTTCCCAAGCTGCCAGTCTGACCTCCAACCACAGTGTGGGATCCAATGCCTAAATCTCCATGCCACTGCTGGCCCCCACAAAAGTATATTATTTCCTCCATGAGTAAGAGATAGCACCCTCATCAGGGTCTTGATGCCATGATCACCCCAACCTTTATGAACAAGCCTACAACAGCATCTGGGATTGAATCAGGAACATTCCCATCCCTTGCAGAGTTTAGTGTTTTTGCTGCTGGAGTACCATCTGAAACCTAGCAAATTATAAATTAAAGTGGCCAGAAATTGTCACCATGTGCCAGCTCTGGACATACACCCTTGATTAGAAAAGATATGGTCATATGGGGAACCAGCAGTTGGAGTAATGGCTATGTTGCTGGTCTTTCATGTAGTCGACCGTGGTTCGAGTCCCAGACCCAATAACTTAAACTCACACCAGGTGGGTAGGCGTGTGTGCTCAAGATCCCAAGATGAGAATGGAAGAGAAGGGATTATGGTGTGGCCATCCCCCCTGGGGGGATGATTTCTTGCTTTCTGTCTCTCTCTCTCTCTCTGTCTTTCTGGCGAGTGCATGCACCCTATAGCAAAAGAAAAAAAAAAAAAAAAAAAGAGAAAAGATATGGTCCTAGGGCTGGCAGGTGGCATGGTGGTAAAGGTGCTAAACTCCCAAACAGTCGACTATGGTTTGAGTATCAGACCTGGCAGCTTGCTTTCTCACTTCTCTCTGTCTCTCTCTGATGAGCACATGTGCCTTGTAACAAAATTAAACAAAAGAAAAGACATGGTCCCTATTCTCAGAGTGCTTACAGCAGAGTTGGGGAGATTATATAATCACTAAAATAATTATACATTATGATATTATTATGAATATCATACATGCACACGTGTGTATCTAACATTCCATATGTTTAGTGCTACAAATCTTTATTCACATGGTATATTATTACTAATCTTTTTGTGGCGATTATAGTGAATAACACTATGGATTCTTTACACATAGCACTGGAGAATACAACTTCTTTTTTAAAGTTTTTTTTCCCCCCAGGGACCAGCAGTTAGTGTAATGGCTATGTTGCTGGACTCCCATGTAGCCGAATGCGGTTCGGGTCCTGGACCCAGTGGCTTAAACTCACCCCAGGCACATGTGTGTGTGCCCAAGATCGTGAGAGAAGAAAGGAGGAGAAGGGATTGCGGCATGGCCATTCCCCCCTGGGGAGCGACATCTCGCTTTCTGTCTCTCTGTCTCTATCTTTCTGGCGATTGCAAGCGCCCTAGAGCAAAAACCTCTCAAAAAAAGTTTTTTTTTTTCCCATAGAGCACGTGCTTGCCAGAGAGAGATGGAGAAAGCAAGAGACAGGGAAGAAATCCCACCCTGGGAGTATTGTCACACCACAATCCCTTCTCTTCCATTCTCTTCTCTGGATTTTGGGCCAGGTGTCATTTTCAAGCTGCCTAGTCAGGGACTAGAACTCCTGAGTCAGCTATAGCACTTTAACTTCCGTGCCACCTGCTGGCCCAAGAATAATTTTTTAAAAAAATTCTTTACTTATTTAAATAAATTATTTTTTAAAAAAGAATTATTTAACTGGGCCTGGCAGGTGGTGTGGTAGTTAAAGGTGTTGGATTCCCACATGGCCGACAACGGTTTGAGTCCCAGACCTGATGGCTTGCTTTGTCACTTTCCCTCTCTCTTTCTCTCTCTCTGCCTCTGGTCAAATTAAAATAATAACAACAAATGGAATTAAATAAACAAATATTAAAAAAAGAATTATTTAACTTTATTTATTTATATTATCTTAATTTGACCAGAGAAGGACAGAGTGTGAGAGAGCGAAGGAAAGTGAGAAAGCAAGCCACCAGATCCAGGACTTGAACTGTGGTCAGCCATGTGGGAGTCCAGTGCCCTTAACCACCATGCCACCTGTCAGCCCCCAATTGTTATTTTTAATCTGAGCAGAGAGAGTTAAAGTACATGGTTAGCCATGAGGGAATCTAGCACCACAGCCACCGTGCCACCTACCTGTCCTGAATAAAACTTTTTTTAATAAAAAAATTTATTTAACTTTATTTATTTTAACTTTACCAAAGAGGGACACAGAGACAAAGCAAGCTGCCAGATCTGGGACTTGAACAACAGCTGGCCATGTGGGGGTCCAGCACCCTTAACCACCATGCCACCTGCTGTTCCACCCCTCCCAATGAAACTTTTTAAAAGAAAGCACTACATATTTTTCTATTTAAGAGAACAATATCCCATTAAAACCCTAATTTTCTGGAATTTGGTGAATTTGTTAAGTTTAGCACTGTTAGTTATGATGTGGACTTTCAAACAAACATTCGTGATTTGTCTGATTAATTTTATTTATCATTGTCATAGTACAAAAAATAGAAGTAGATTAGAGCTTGAACCTCTTCTATGTTCAGTCCATCTTTCATGGTGGTTGTTCTTCATGGCTCCTGTGACATCTCTGGTTCTATGGATGTAATTCCTGCTAAATTGAAAGGGTTAAACTGCCATCTGCCTGCTTTGGTAGCTTATTACCACTTAACGACAGGCGACAGAGGATAGCTTCTAGGAAAGATACTCCAATACATCCGAAAGGAGACTTTTAGCTGTATCTGGTAGAATTCCAAAACACTTAACACCGGGAGACTTTCATCCTTCTTAAGAGCAGCTACTTCTGACCTGGAAGCAGCTGCTGATTAACAGCTGTTGAACCTCAGAGCCCCAGGCTCAAGACCCCCTAAGAGGAGCTCACAGAACCCAATTAAGGGAACATTTATCGCTATTTTCGAATAATGAATACTACCACCTGTGTTTTGCAAACGTTGCTGGATGTAACAGACAGAAAGTCCTGCTTCTCAGGACTTTCTCAACTAGGTCTTGACAATTCTCTTCTCACTTCTTGTCTTTCTCCCTTTTTTCCCCATTTACCGTTCTATTATCTTCCAGCCTGAACAATTTCGTCCTTTCACTGAAAGTCTGGAGGAAGGGAGAAACAGAAAACTGAAACGGGGGAAGGCGGGCTAGTGTTAAAATTTTATCCGGGCGGGGAGGCTCCAGGGGCAGGTGCACTGACAAAATGCCCAGTCTTCCTGCACGTGTCCAGTGCTAACTCAGGGTTCCCTTCCCTGCACAGGTTAGGGCGGCCCCAGGAGGAGGCGAAGTGAGGCAGGGGGACTCAAGCCCCTGCCGCCCGTCGCCCTCGACCTCTCTGCCCCCCCGGGCC